ACACATTTTACCACAAAATAATTTCCATTTGAATACATATTTATGAAACTGTGTCATATGACCGTGTACTGAAACACTCCAGTGGTTTGTTAATCTGCTAATGTTACACTTGTACACATTTTTCTTACTCAACAATGTTTCCATCCAATTCACCAAAACAAGCTGAACTGTATTTAAGATTTTCATGATAGCTCAAAACAAACAAGGTCAAAATAGCTTTCCTGTGCAGCTTTTTATTTTACATATACAACAGAGCAGGAACACCAGTTCAGCAAAAGTATCCCAAGTCTAAGGTGCATAAATGATGGCAAAGGTATGTGCACCCTCTAAACAGCCACATCATTACTCTCTCTAGGAACCTAATGGGCCTGAGGTCTTATGCTGAAAAAAATAAAAGCACTGGAGCTCTGTAGCATGCCTTTGCTGGACATGGTGCAAAACATTCATTTTGGTGCTCCAAGGCTCAGAGTGCAATGAACCATGACTCTACTTGAGCTATGCCACCTGAGACTGATAGACAACTCATCGTTAGACAAGTAGGGAACTGGTAGCATCCCTACCCTCTGCCTTCCTCACTCTCCACTCAACTGAAAAACAATGACAGTGTAGCCTGGCAACTGCGTACCAGCTTGGGCCATTATTTTATAAAATCTTTCAAGAGCTCTAGTTCCTCTGCACCGACCCTCCATGCAAAATCTAGCAAATGTCACAAGGTTAAACGTGAAGTGATTTGTTACTTTTTTTCATCCCTATTTACAGGAATCAAGATAATTGTTGAAGTACTTAAAAAGCAGATGGTGGATTTGTATGATCATCTGAGGATAATTACAGCTTCCACAGAACGAAGTTCAAAAACAAGCTTTTATGAAGCACTATTTGTTCTCATGGGATCATCTGACAATCCACAACTACATCTGCAGGGGGTACACACAATGAGCTTGTACTCACTCATTTCAGATAAAACTCACAGATGAGCCATCACTTTGATGCTTTAGGGAAAACCCTCTGAGCAGAAGTAACATAACATGCCAAAACAAATAAAGCTCAAAGAATAAATGAGTTCACTAGAACCAATGATGCTTTAGTGGTTAACAAACAAAAAAAAAAACAAAAAAAACAATGCTATCTAAACATTTCCGGTACACGGCCATGGAAGAACCATTAATTCCAATTATGAGCACTGATTACAACAGGAGTATGCTCTTGTGTTGGCATCTCATTAAATAAGAACTCGGTTGTTTACATTTTGGAACAGAGATGACAAGCACAAACAGGTTTCAGTCTAATGGGGGTAGGAACACCACAAACATCATAAATTCTCAGAGTGACCGGACCTTTAGGTATCTCAGCTATGGAGAACCACTGCTTTATCTGAAATGGGCTATATTCACAGAAAGGCCAACAGTTGTATGTAAGCATTTTTGTTTTATATCAGTGCGAGGACTCCAAAGTTTCTACAGAAAGGCAAGTTAAAAATTTCAAGCATGGAAAAAAAAATAATTAAAGAGAGGGATTAAGAAGGAGGGACTCACCTTGTTTCCTGTCCCAGCACAGCAGATCCCCAGAGCCATGGCGGCCCCACAACGAACATGAGGATTGTAGCTCTCTGACAAAAGAGACACGACACTGGGACACTGCTCTGGGGTCCTGAAAACAGATTGAGAAAAAAAAGAGAGAAAAATATTAAGGCTTAAAAAAAAAAAACTGAGGACAAGAGAGTGGGCTTCATCTTCCCAACTGTAATCATTAAACAAAACAAAAAAAGAAAAACAAAGCTAGCAATGACACCATTCATTGGGTTACGACTTATTTTATTGAGATGTTTAAAAACAATGTTCCTCACATAAGGATAGGAAGGGATTTAGATACAGTATGTCATCCTCTACGGTGCACAACATAATTAAAAGATTCAAAGAATCTAAAAGGGATTTCAAAACATAAAGGGTGCAATTATTTTTTAGTCTGTCGCCCTCATCGATGGAATATCTTGGTCCGCTACAAATTAGCTACAGTCAGCTAAGGTTGTCCATTCTGAATTACCACAGTCTGTAAATGAGATCTAAATGATTTAAGAAGCTTTTTAGCCAAACAAAAGAAGAATGTATGCAGGCAGTGCCACCTACATCCCAACACAGCGTGACACATCTTCACATTCTCTATAGGCAAATGAACACTTTTACCGTGACAGCTTTAGGAACAATGTTTTTTTTTTGTTTGTTTTTTTTTACCTGCATTTGTTTTTCAATAGATTGGACCAGATAAGTGAAACCAAACAAACAATAAAATGCTGAAAATTAAGAAACAGATAAAAAAAACAAAAACAACAAAATGCAAAACAATATGCATTATTCAAAAGAGCTACAGCTACATCATCAATGCAGGAAAGAACAGAAGGTTATAAAAATGTACACAATGTACAAAAAACTACTAAGATTACTCCATCTGATTTAACCAAAAAATAGCCTCAATAAAGGTTTGAAAATAATGTTTAAATAAGCATAATCTTTGTTGGGTCTTGTGTTTGGTGCTGTGCATCAATATGTTCTCAAAACAACCCCCCCCCCCGGGGTGTGCTTGGAATTAGAAGCTCGGTTCAACCACTACATGCAGATTTAACAAGATCCCAAGCGGCAATCATTGGGAGATCTAAATCACCCTTCACTTACACAGATAAAGTCCATTCAGTTTTTTTAGTTTGATGATTCCCTTTAATCCTTACTTGGATGTGGACCAAAAGGCAAGGCTCTCAGAGACAAGTCTGGTTTTGGGCCAGATTTAAAATGAGAAGGAAAATGAATAAATAAATAAAAAAAAGACCTAACCATTGTTAGGCTGTTAATTCTCCAGTAACTGCTCCTGCAGCAAAAGCTTAGTATGCCGTTTTATGAATTATAGTAATAAAACCAGGCCATGAAAATTTTTGTAATAGGTTTTTATAATAGCTAGACAATGAAATATAATTTTGATTTTTGAAGTCAATAGGACACTACGGTAACTTGAGGCACAGCATCAGAAAACTTAAATGTAGAATTGTAAAAAAAAAAAAAAAAAAAAAAAAAAAAAAACACAAGTCAACATTTTAAATGTAAAATTACTAATTACTTTCAACTTCTGGCAAATTGGAAAAATCCAGATAGGAAGAAGAAATAATTGTTGTTTCATCTGAAAAGGCATTGACACAATGATGTCTGTACTCCAAGCCAAACATGGCATCCTCCTCATGTGTGATAAAATGAGAAACCTAAAAATAAACAAAAATCCTTTAAAATTTGAAAAGTTAAGAAGAGAAAAGGCAATAAAATAGATATTTTTCTAAGACGTTGGCTAACTGTAACACTAGCAAGTGCCAACACATTCACCCTACAGTCCAATGCATCCTATTATTTCTTTGGAAAATTCTAAAAATGATATCCACTCAGATCTGAGAAAAAAAAAAAAATAAAAAAAAAAATCACCTCTTCAGCAGCACCTAGTGTTGCTCCTGTACTCTGACCTTTAGGCGCAATATAGGCGCCAGGATTTTATTGTTCATATGTGCATAATAAGAAATATTTACTTAAAACGTTGCAAAAATGCACAGAGCTTTTTCTTGACTGTTAATGTGCTCGGACTATATGTGTATGCTTAATTTTTATTTTATTTTTTTTTTAATCATGAGTCTCAGATGATAATACAGGTGTAACTTAGTAACCTACTCTAGGAAGCAACATATGTACTGAAAGAATCAAGAAAAGTGCTGCAAATAGGTGTGCTGGTTGGAAAGGGGAAAAGGAACATGCAGCACATAACAAAAAATCATCATTATGGGAGCAAGGAAAAAGGGAACATACACTAAATTTATGACTTGTAGAAGGTTTATGGCAAGTAAAGTGTCATAATTATCCAGTTTGGTACAAACTTGATATACGTGCAAAAGTTATTAGGAAAACATTTTCAAATTATGCAAACATTCAAAAAAATGAAATATTCAACCAAAACCTCAAATCTTGTTATAGCATTTGACTATCCATAATGTGCAGATCCTGACAAATAAGTCTGAACTATGAAAAAGCAAGACCGGTTGTTTAAAATGTGCCTTTTTGGTACGTATTTGATGTGACAGAAAAAATTACCAGAAATACTTTGCAATGAAATGAGAATGGAGGTTAGAGACAGGATCTCAGATGTTCCCTGTAAATCACTGTGGATCAGCCTGAAGTCTGATTATCCCCATCTGGCACAAATTAGAAATGCACTAGCTTTCTTCTAACAGACACTGGAACTTAATACGACTCCTGGGCATGAATATTCTAAACTTAACATGACAGTGTATTTTACATGGGTATTGGCACAGTAAGTCTATTAGGAAACATGCTTCAGATAAAACATTTGGTCAGTGGAATGTTCTTTACTTGGAAACCTAAGGGTGTACAGATTCTCACATTTTCTTATGAAGAGAAGAATCACTCATCATCATCATCAGGTTACTCTAAACTCTGGGAATGTTTATTTCTACATCTTTTAATGTCTTGCATCTGCTTTAGTATAACAGTATAACAGTGAGAAAACACTGACTTTTTAAGGCAAGGAGATCAAATGTAAAAACAAATAAGGATTAAATCTTAACTTAATCATTTTGAAGAAAATTATTCTATTTAAATGACTCACACTGGAAATATGAGGACAAAATGGAAAAGCTATGGGGTACAGTACATTTGTTGAGTACCTCAGCCAACATATGGAAGGCTTCTCCCCATACCCCACGACTTCTTGCTTCGAATAGAGGAGAGAACTGAAAGTGACAAATATAAACAGTGGGATGGCTGTGCTGAAGGAAATTACCTCCCAGAACCACTGGGATGAAGCCAGCATGAAGACATTCATCTGTTTTAAACACCGTCTGACTCATGGGCAAGGCGAAGAGGAGGGAAGGGAAAGAGACAGTGTGAGAGAGGGAGGATCACAAGCTGTGAACAAGAGGCAGCAGAGAGTGGGAGAGGGAGAGAGGCAGAGGAGCCACAACATCTGAAAGTTTTAAACCTGTGATCGCCGTAGACGATGCGAAGCAAGACTGGGGGTTCCTCCAACATTTGGAATAAAGACAAATTCCACATCATGGACTGCTTCAGACAGAGACAGATTTAGGATTTTGCTGCTGACAGAGGGCATTCTCTGTCACATTTTTATTTAATGGAGGGTAGATATATAGTTGAGGTAGGGCATGGTAAAAACATATACTAAGCGCTGCAAAAATTTTGAAATACATGGGGTAATAGGCATTATTTTTCCCAGCACAGCATATTGCTTTAGTGTTTATGAGAAAAATGAAGTGTCAAAGGGCTTCTTTGAAGAACAAGTGTTACCTTTAGGAGCAGGTAAGAACCTTTTGCAAAATCACAATAATGCTAATGGACACTGTATTTTTTGCAGATCAAATTTAACACTGTTACAGCCATTCCACAAGCATAGGGTACATCTCTGTATTTTTACAAGTTTGGGTTGTAGACAATGAGACAAGGCATGTAACTTTAATTTAAAAACCTAACAGTTACATTTTAATACCCAACATCTGTTTATATATAGATACAATTTAGACAAAATTTTAGATATCTCAATCCAGATGTAGCCATTACACAACCATTATTATCTTTCATAAGTTAGTTTTATATACTGTAAACTACAATATAATGACAGAAAATGAAAAAAAGAAGGACCTTCATTTATTACCATAAAACATCTTTCATTATTATGTCATTATTCAGAAAAATTGAAAAAAAAATGGTAATAAGGTATCGCTGTTCCTTGAACAGACCTGCTGTTCTGCACCAGATGACAAAGGTTTCTACTGCCTGCGAAAGTGAGGACCCCTGCTAAAATTTCACTGTGGAAGTACTAATCGTGTTGGGATTATTGCCAGCAACAGGAGCTCGTAGTGTTGGACTTGTTTTCATTGAATCCTCTACTAAGTGTTAGCTATTCCTTCTGGTTTGTACACTGCTCAAGGAATGAAGCACCCTGTTCACTGACCCCGAGCTGTCCCACCCTACCCTCTGCCCTTGCCCGTGGGACTCGGTGACCATGCTGACCGAGTGTCAAACACCAGAAAGATCAGAGCCCCGACCCACGCTCAGGCCTGCTGTAACCTCTGCAGCACCATGTCTCAGGCAGTCGTGGCTCCACTCGAGACCAACAGCTCATGGCCAGGAGAAGAGTCTGAGGCTCATCTGAAATGGGCTGCCTTGCTTATTGTCATGGTCATCATCCCCACTATCGGAGGCAATATCCTGGTCATTCTTGCTGTGTCGCTTGAGAGAAAGTTGCAGAATGCTACAAACTATTTTCTGATGTCGCTTGCTGTGGCTGATCTACTGGTGGGACTCCTAGTGATGCCTATTGCCCTTGTCACTGTTCTCTACAGTAAGTTTAGTATACGGCATTGTGTTTGAAAACCTGATACTTTGTCTTACCTTTGAAACCAATCTGTGCAATACAAAAGCGATAAATACATTTCTCTACTAAGAGAAAAATGTTGTTCTTCAATGCACACCAATTCCTTCGCACAATTTTGATAAAATGCTAAGCCAAAAGGTGGAAAATTATCCTGAAACCTAGCTATGTTTGAACCTCCATAAGTTGACCTCTTTCAAACAATCTTAGGCAAAAGACCTATGAAACCCTGACAACCATTACTGCCAAATGTTCAGGGTAAAAGTGTTTGTCAGTGTAGAAGTAAATGTGTCTGTAGGATGGAAACAACCAGCTGCAAATATTTTACAAAGATTGTCGCCCAATCTAAATCAGAAAATTGCATTTAACCTTTACTAGCCTTAAGAAGGACCAGGCCTTAGGGGTGGCAAAGGAGGATAATATTTGTGAGCAATACTGATACAATAATAACCATCTATAAATAAATTACTGAAGATGAAATTGAACAAGAGATAGGCGACAAACATGCTGTTGGTTGTGCTATGTAGCAGTTGAACTACTGATCTGGAGGCTCATTATCATTTATTTTAATTCGAGTGACAGTGCTATATAAATACAGCTGCTTAGGAACTGTTTTAATACAACTACAAAATACAGAGCTATGGCTGCACATCTGTCCCTTAACAATTCAAATGGAGGGTAGTGAACTAGCTCATAATTATGCCTTACATACATAAGAGCAGAGCGTGACATGACTGTAGTCGCTCTCAAAAAACAAAATCTGGTTTTGCATGACAACAGTATGCGTTACACTGAAAGACCTGCACAAGTCAGAACGATCACAGGTGCTAGAGAGTTTGCACAAGTTAGAGCCAAGATAATAATCTACTATGGTACGCATATTGGTAATACATCTGCCTGTCTTCATGACCGAGTGATGTTGTATACTGTCAATTTATTTAACCTAAACAATACATAAAGCAACAACTCAGCTGTTTTGTTTCATGAACCCTTATAGCCATACTCAATCAAACTTCCATGCAGGCTTCATGTGAAGTGTGCTGAGCAGACTTAAAAAAGCTTTTTCTTTTTCAATCTGCTTCAGTTGAGGAGGTTAAGGGACTAAAACATGTCCAGTATGTCATCAGAAGAAATTAAATGGTTTCTTTTTAAAAATCACTACTTAAGTGTAAACCCTTGTGAAGCAATTTATCATAAGCCCTAAATAAAAGATCTGATGCTTAGGTTGAGAACCAACCCAGCAAAGTGTAAAAGTATGCATGCATGCAAGTGCATTTCACTGCAACTTAGACCGTCACAAAGACAGAACAAAAACAAATAAAGATACATCAAGCTCATTTTTGAGGTTGGTAGTATAGTAGAAAAAAAATGTTGCAATTTAACAAGTGAAAAGTTTAAAGTCATTATATTCTTATGCAATAAATACATGTCATAACATTTAAACATTGATATTCATAATTGGGTTTTCTCTTTAATATGGCAATAATTTATGCTGCCAAAATTTTGCATGAAATAAAAGAACTTGTCAACTATTTTTTAAGCAGACATGTGTGATTACCGTTGTCATCACCCCACTTTTTGGGGAGATTAAGCTCAGTGTACTGATGTGAATAAGAAAAGGTCAAGGGGACAAAAAATAAATAAAAATACATAAACACGAGTCATAAACCATCTATGAATGTACGGAAGCATAGCAGGGCTATCAGTGTTGACAGTCATACTGCCAGATGAATAATAGTTTCTCCCGAGGTAGCACACAGTTATGCCATATAATAGAGGTTATATTGTCTATAGTTAGCAGCAGTCAATGTCCAATACAACATAAACTACCCCATCAGAGTGGAAGAGAGATGGATTTAGATAAAAGACCAAATTAACTACAAGTCCACGAAGCATTCAAAGGCATGGTATGCAAAAATAAAGAAAATGCAGCCTGAAAAAACAAGTCAAGAATGTGATCTTATTATAGCTACGCTGCTAGTGGATTTCCACATCTGTTGGGCAGATGGAATAAAGGCATACAAGCAGCACCTACCAAATGTAGGGAGAGCTGGGTAAAACGGAAGTATCAGTAAATTGTTTTTAAAGGGCCAATGATTTGGTGTTCCTCCCTGAAGTGTAGCACCTGCAAGGCAAGGCTAAATAGTTTCATCAGTGTAAAAATACATTTCCTTTACCTTGCTGTTCTATTCTCTGATTTAAAGAGCTGCAGCTCATAAGAATCCATTTCAGCTTATTAAAACAAACAAAGAATTCCAGCATAAGCATACCCTGGGGAGGATAAGAATGTCAAATATAGCCCTATATACTTTCAACAAGCTAGCCTTATAGTATATTCCACCTAAATATGTGTTACCTGACAAAAAATCCTTAAAAAGAAAAAAAAAAACAGTGTAGAGGACGTTTGAAACTCTTAAACAAGTGTAATGAAAACACAACAAGATGAATACCTGTGGAAGGTATTGACCACACTTTCAAAAACAAACCACAAAAACAACAACAACACTCTGATCCTGTTTTTAACTTTCCTCACTGCAGTTTCTCAACTACACAATGGTTTTTCAATTACAGATATGGATAGAAGGTTCTGATAATATTATTACTTTAGCACAAGACTGACAGTAATACAGACTCACTTGCTCCAGAGGGCAAGTGAAAGGTTGAATAAACGTTACTATACAAAGCGTCTTTATTTAATTCAGCATAATAAAAATATATTCCATTTTACAGCTACTTGGTCTTGGACCAAGGTATGCTGTTTATTTAAGTAGGCATGGCACTAAACACTTCACAGAACAGGTACAGAGGATGTGCTTTGAGAAAGAGTGAACAAGTGGTCAATGAATAAGGCTTTGAGTTGAAACCTAATCAAAATATGACTCAAAACAGCCCAAGTGTGGCAAGAAAGTAGCAAGGGGGGGG